AGGCCCCTAAACGTCCCATTCCTTGGCCTGCATGGTGCTGGGTGCTTCTGGGAACGTGTGGCCATGGTGGGGTGGGCTTGGGATGTGGTGGAGTGTGTGAGAAATGAGGTGACCCTGTTCTGAGCAGCCAGGAGGTGTGCCTGCAGGATGTGCACACACCTGGGGGGAGATGCTGGCACCAGTGGAGCCAGGATGTGGATGTGAGCAGGATGGGAGGTGCAGGGCATGGGTATCAGCGGGCTGTGGGGAGGGTGGGCTGGGTACAAGGAGATGTGGGGAGGTGGGGTGTGGTGCAGAGACGGGTGGGCAGCGGGTGCAGGACATGGATGTGAGTGGGATGCGGCTGAGATTGGGCAGTGGGATGTGGGATGAGAGCGGCAGTGAGAGTTGGGATGTAGACACAAGACAGCAGTGGGATTTGGGATGTTGACAGCAGTGGGCAGCAGAGCAGCGCGTGGCTGTGAGCCAGCAGTGGGATTTGGGGTGTGGACACAAGCGGGTAGTGGGATACAGGACTTGAGCAGGATGGGGATGTGTGCGTGCAGCTGACTCAGGTGAGGGCTTGCTGGGCTGCGGCGGGGGCACGGACCCCATGGGGCTGCAGGCAGCGCTGCCTCAGCACGCGGCGGCAGCTGGGCCGGGCGGTGATTAATGACCCTTATTAGAGTCGTTAATAGGGCCAGGCGGTGCAGCCGGCCGGGGACGGGAGCGCAGCGTGTGGCTGAGGAGAGGGGCGCGACGCCGGGGCTGAGCCGCTGGGGGGGGGGCTCTGTCTGGGGGACGGCAGCGGTGTTTGGGTGCTGAGCGCCGTGTCCCCGCAGGCACCATGCGCCCGGTGCGCAGGAACTTCTACGACCCCTCCTCAGCACCGGGAAAGGGTATCGTGTGGGAATGGGAGAACGACAACAGCTCGTGGACGCCCTACGACATGGACATCTGCATCACCATCCAGAACGCGTACGAGAAGCAGCACCCCTGGCTGGACCTCTCCTCCCTGGGCTTCTGCTACCTCATCTACTTCAGCAGCATGTCGCAGATGAACCGACAGACGCAGCGCCGGCGCCGGCTGCGGCGCCGCATGGACCTGGCGTACCCTCTGACCATGGGCTCCATCCCCAAGTCGCAGTCGTGGCCGGTGGGCAGCAGCACGGGGCAGCCCTGCTCGTGCCATCAGTGCCTGCTGGTCAACAGCACCCGCGCGGCATCCAACGCCATCCTGGCCTCGCAGCGCCGCAAGCTGTACGCCGGCACGGGGACGGTGCCGGTGCGGCAGAGCAGCACCTTTGCCGGTGCGACGTTGTGGCCATCGGCGGGCGGCACGGCCAAAGGGGAGGCACCCAGGGTGCCTGCTGGGGCTTTTGGGTGCAGCCAGAGCACGCCCGGCACCGTGCAGCTGCCTGGCCTCAATAACCTCAACCGGCCCGGCACGCAGCGGGGGGCTGGCAGTAGCGCCCGCACCGCGGTGCCCCCCGGGTAAGCTGGGATGAGGATGCATGTGACGGCGCTGAGGTGGCGCGGGGTGGGCTCACGGCGGTGGGGAGGTGGCATGGAGGTGCACTCAGATTGCTTGGCAGCTGTCGCCTCACCGGTGCTGGCACCGAGTCACCACCACCACAGCCGTGCCGTGCCATGCTGTGCCGTGCTGCATTCCTGTGCTGTGCCGTGCAGCTCCATGCCGTGCCACACCGTGCCTGGTTGTGCCAGTCCACGCCGTGCCATGCTGGCTGCAGGAGATGAGGTGCCAGCACTGGGGGACTTGTGTCCCTGTCGTCCAGCATGCGGTGGGTCGCTCCGGAGCGTTTGTTCCAGTACTACCAGGCAGGTCCCTATGGGGAGCTGTTGTGGCATCCTGCCCTGCAGGAAGGATCTGGCCTCGCTCTGGGAGATGCAGCGGGACACGACTGGGTGGTGGTGGTGACATCCTGACAGTGTCACCTCCGCTTCAGGGTGTGTGCTGCAGGAACACCTGTGGGTCAGGGGTAGCAGGGGCACAGGGAGCATCACACGGTGTGGGCATGTACCTCTGCGTCCCTCCCACTGCCCGCAGCCACAGCGCACAGCCAGACAGAGCTGGGGACAGGGGTGACAGAGTTGAGGAGAGGGGGGGCATGCAGGGTCACCAAGCACTCGGCGTGTTTCCTTCCTCTGTTGATGTGCTGCTTTCGCTTCCGTGTCCTGGGCCAAGCCATCCTCATGTCGACACGCAGCCCCCGTGCTGTGCGTCCCCATGGACAGGTAGGAGGGGGCTGGAGGGGTGAGGGCCCCACTGCCTTACATGGCCTTGGTGTGGCTGAGGGTGGCCTTGGGAACTGCAGGCAGGGACTGGCAGTAGAGGCAAGACTGGGATGTGGCATGGCCTGGGGCCTGGGCCCCTGTTGCAGGGGCAGCAAGGGTCCCTGCGCAACGGACCCTTCCTTGGGGCTGGGATCTGCTGTCTGTGTTGTGGCTGCTGGGTTGTGAACAGGGATGTGGGGCTCTCCCCATGTCTACACACCCACAACCATCTCTATCCACCCACCCACCCATCCACCCA